TAAAAACTCAATGCACATAATGAAATGGATAAGTTTATCATCTAATTCATAACTATTAAACCATTTTAACATTATATACTGATTATCTTTTTATGAAATAAGCTTGTTGGTTCGCATAGAGTTAACAGTTTTAATGTTCATGCTTGCTTTCATTTATTTTCAAGATCTGAGGTAAACTATCTACTGTTGCTGTCAGTATGGCTATAAAGGTCACACAAAATGATATTTAAACTCACATTAGACACTTTTAACATTGAATGGAGCACATAATCAGTACCTGAGATCATCATTGTCATAGCATGTATGTTGTTCAAACATACATTACAGAAATAGAAACCGTTTCTAACATAGAATCTGCTGTCACTCGTGGCATGTCTGATGTCACGCTGATTAACATGGAAAAGGCACCTTTTATTGCGTGTCACAGTGTCGTGTCACATCTGGTTAGGACACAGTGTTAACCATAGCTTAGTGTTCATCATACCTGTTCCAACATTGCTAAGAATCTAAGTTATAAGTCTCTTTAAAAAATAATTGAATTTAAAAAGAAAAAAAAAACCGCATCTCTCTTCTATAAGTTGCATGATTTGAGGTATCATTCTTACCCATAGCATGGTGCCGTGAAGTTTTGTCTGGAAGAAGAAGAGGTTTTAAGAATAGTAAACAGTAACGCTTCATAAACATCTATAATTAAAATAAAAAGAAATGATTAAATTATTATTAAATTAAAACTTATTATTATTATGATTATTAATGTATTTAAATCTGTATTTATGTCAGATCTGTTTATGATGCATCAGGATCATGAAAGAAGCAGCAGGAGCACAGTGTGAGGAGTGTCAGGTGCTTGATGCTGATAGGAGGATTGTGTGGTAGAACGTTCCGGTGGGCATCTGCGGGAACAATAAAAACAAAGGCGTTTTAGATGGGGCGCACACTAAGCTCCGATTTAAAGGCTTGTTGTGACAATGTTTTAGACAGATTTGTGAAGGCAATGTGTCTCAGTGTGAAGGTCACTGGCACTGACAGCCACACAAACACACACTCTCGTTGCGGTCAGAGTTGAGAGCCACAGCAAAATAGGAGGCTTTCAGTGGATTCTGAGATGAGCTGTATCTGAAATGAGCTCGAGGAACATTGCTACATGACTGCCATCTGCTGTGAGGCTGTGTTCATCGGGATAATCTTACAGT